TATTTAGTTGGGGGCTGTCCATACAGGCCAAAAGGCCCATGTTCTCCTCACCCCCACATTGTCCTGTTGGACAATGCAGGCAAATACCTCCAGGCTGGGATCAGGCAGACTGAAAGCTAATCTGGTGGTCCTGGTCCAATCCCGGTGCAAAGGGACCTTACCGCAGCTCAAAAAGACTCAACTTTTACTGAAGAGTTTATCAGAAATTCCATGGCGATCCTCAGCAGACCAGACATCTTTTACTTTTCTCTGCCATCGCTGCTACTGAGAAGACCACTGTTGCTGCATCTGACATGGAAACATAAAGCCTGGTCACATGGGTGCAACCAGGTGCCCCATTTCCATGTCAGATGTGGCAACAGCGTCTTCTCAGTAGTGGTGATGGCAGAGGAAGGCAAGGGGGTGTAGCACTAGCAGATCCATGGTGCTGTTAACTCCCACCTATGCCTGTGCTGGCCTGGGGACTGACCTGGGGTAGAGCCAAGGCTATCCTACTCCATCTGCTCAGTCCCTTGATGGCATTCAACCAGCACTCACTTAAGGTCTTTTAGAAAGGAATTCTCATTCCCAACAGAGCTCTTCTGTTTTCCCTGAACAGTTAGTTATGTGACCCTCAGAAAAGACCTGATATGCAGGAAAGGCAGCCTACACAGGTGGAGCTCCTATTTTTACAGGCTTCAATTTTTCTCTTTTCCTCTACATCTACCCACCTCACCCCACATTACAGGTCTTTCCAGCCTAATCTTTAAAATAAAATACTTCAAAGGAACATACAATACAATGCAATGCAAAATCAGTTCTAAGACTACAATCCTATGCATTCTTAGGTGAAAGTATAGGACAGCTGGGGACTTACTCCTGAGCAGATATGCACTGGCACAGATTACAAGCCTCACTGATTTCACAGGAAAAACCAAGCATGGATTTGATTCTCTTCTATAGGGTTTAAGAGTGCTCAGTTTCACCCAAAATAGGTACATACATACACATACATGTATGTAGAAGCATTTTTGCAACATCCCACCTTGAGGAAGCTATATGGTTAAGGATGGAGCCGTTTTAAAGAAGCTTATAACCACAGCATCAGTGTGGTTCTACATGGCTTAGAGAAGAAGATTCCTTAGAACAAGAATTCTGCAAAACATCATGGCATCACTTTGCTTTTAGAATTCATAATGCTTTCAAAATGCCCATCACCTTGAAACTAGTACTGTTTTATCATAAATTTTACCTTTGAAGGCACTTTAACATCCTTTTGAAGGACAGAAAGGTCTCTGTAATAATCTTTAAAATTTTCTGGCAACATTTCAACACTTATGGACATTGCTTCATCGAGTGCTTCATAATCATAAGATGAAGATTTCCTTATTCTTCTGAACTGTTTATTTTGAAGTTGTCTAAGATAGTATTCCCAGCGATTGGGAAAATCTCGTAATAATGCTCCTATTAAAGATACCACAAGAGGGGAACCTAGAACATAGGAATTAGTAGTTTAAAATATGAAATGAATTTTTTTAATATGTTCAAAAGGAGGAAGTCCGTTATTATTTTTTTGAAATAGCTATTGACGAAATCCATGAATAGCATTTCTATGAAAAATGTCAAGAGAACAGAATACAAAAACAAAAACAAAAAAACATCAATGGGTTCAATCAACAGAGTTATCCTAATACTGACTACAGCCACAGTTACCCATGTTCTTGCTCAGAACAAGGGGAATACATTTCTAAATAAATAGAGTACCAAAGTAACAAGTCAGTCCTCTGAAGCAAACATAATCCTCACATATTCAAAAAGTTTAAGCATTTTAGATTAATTGCTTGCTCCATGTCTACCACAAAGGAGAGACTGTAAAAGTAGCAAGTTAAAGATGGAGAACTCTGTAGACCAGGGTTCAATTCCCAGTTTCGCCATATAAACCCACTGGGGTGATGCTGAGCAAGTCACAATCTCTCAGCCTCAGAGGAAGACAAAGGCAAACCCTCTCGGAAGAAATTTTGCCAAAAAACCCCAATGATAGGGTCGCTTTAGGGTTGCCATAAGTCGGAAACAACTTGAAGGCACACAACAACAATAAAAGTTAAAAATAGTTAAAACTTCAAATTGACATTTATGCAAATACATTCTGAGAAGCTATTACTATTTTTGATAGGGAGAACAACGTAAGCTAAAATTAAAATTCTAACCTTTGCATTCATTTACAATACAATCAGCTTTTTCTGGTAGCTCTTTTATTTCCATGTTAACAAATAGGGATAATATTTCAAGTGCTTTTTCATGTGTTAGTCCACTTTCCACAGGAACCTCGTATTTTTTGCCTGAGTGTTAACATTAGAAAGAAAATATTTAATTTAGAGCATACATGTTAATTTATATAGCACTTATGAGTTTTCATGTTTGAAAATGCTGTATTTTAATCAAGCTTGGTTAAAAAGTATTATACCTTCCCACAGACCATTTTAAAACAGGCATTCAAATGTTCATCAGCCAGTTTTAGTATTATGCACTGTATTTAAATATTTCTGCTCATCCATAGCACCAAAATGTACATGAAAAATCTTGTGTGCATAAATTACCAAAGCAAAGTAATAGATCTGTTGTATCAACTGAAATTGATATGTTTTGCAGGTAACTTATATTAAACTCATTAAGAGCTGCATGGGAAATGACAAAACTGGATGAAGCTAGTGACTGACCTTGTGAGACACAAAGAACTACAGTCCGCCCTTCCGTTGGGCAGCGAATCAAGGGGGATAAAATGAGACGGGCGTGAGCCTATGGGGCTTGAATATATGTGATTTTCCATTTTCACAAGGGAGGATCTGGAACAGATCCCCCGCGGGAATGGAGGGTCGACTGTACTTACAACCCACTACCTCTTATCCCCTTAGATATGAGAACATACTATCATTCCTTATCAATGGACTGGTCTCAAGAATACCAGGGAAAAATCCCAGAAATTATTATGGTAAAACACTTATCAATGTCAGAGATCCACAGGGAATTGTATGATATCTTAAATGTTCATATCAGAATTTAGGTCTACTTCCTCCCACTAATGTGTCTGTCATGAACTTTTCTCTTCCCCCCCTCAAAGTTTTCATTTGTGCTCAAACATTAAATTCTTATTCATCTCTCTATATGAAGTTGTTTCATACTACAAATATGTTACCACTTTCTGTAGCTTTTACTAAATCTTTCATAACCTGAAGGATAAAATACTAAATGTTATGTATTGTCATACTATCCATGGCCCAGAACAGATAGGTGGAACTGCGGCAACTGCACAGCCCTCTCCGAAAGTGGGCTGCTGCAAGCAGACCCAAGCCACACTGCCAGGAGCCAGCTTATTCCAGCTTTTTTTGTATAAAAAGTGCACGCCCAATGCGGCTAGAAGCTGCTTCTTTGTGCCCATATGTTCTGTGCCCATAACAAGTTAGACATAAAAAAAGGCTTATGTTTTCTGGAATTCTATTTTCTGTATTGTATTTTTAATGTATTTTTTCTTTATTCAACTTCTTTAAACTATAAACCAAATATAACTGGATATTCCAATTGAAACCCTGAAAGTTTTATTTGATTTGATTTATAATCCACCTTTCTCCCATGAATGAGACTCAAAGCAATTTTTAATAGAATTGCACAAATATTGTTGTAATATAAAGCATAAAAAATTAAAAGACAATGGGGCAAAGCAAACTGACAAAAAAACACCAGCTTTGGGGTGGCATGGGGGCGTGGTGTACGCATGCTGCAGACCCGAATGCCGCCCCCAAATTGTGTTATACCACCTCACTGACCACACACGCCACAGAAACACAAAAAAATTGCTACGGCAGCAGAAAAGCTGACTTTTTGCTGGCTGAAAAAGGAGCAGTTTTCTGCCACTTTTTTTTTGAGCCAGCAAATAGTCGGATTGGGGGCACAGTGTATAGTTTCTGCAGCCCTGATTCAGCACTCAAAGGAGGGGCAGCAAGCTGCTCCTTCGGGGCACTCTGTTTCACCCCAAAATTATTTCATTATCACACTATATTGTTATAGTGCTATATTCCACTTTAACTGCCATGGAAACAGCCTATGGAATCCTAGGATTTTCAGTTTAGGGAGGGGGCATTAAGAATACTCAACCAGAGTGCTCATGGAACTCACTAATCTACAAACCCCAGAATTCCACAGAATGTTGCCATGTCAGTTAAACTGAAATATAGTGCTATAGCAGTGTAGTGTAATGAGGATCTCAATTTAAAGAACTTCCACAGCAAGCAAAATTAGTTGCCAAATGCTAGCCTGAATGAAAAGATCTTTGCCTACCAACAGGAAGGCAACTATAGGGAGCTCTCAAGCCTGGCTATAGCCCCTAAGAAAGCCCAATAAAGGTTTTAATCTTCCTTTCAGTTTCCCCTACTACTGCAAAAATGATTTCTCAAATACATGTGAAATGTTATCTGAATCTTTCTGTACACTGTATAAGTTAAATTTAGAAACAATATTGTTAAGAAATTCTTCTTCTTTCTAACTTGGTGTCTTGTGTGCCTAACAGATATTGTATTTTTCAAGAACCATAATTTTTCTCCATTGTACAGTTCCTATATCATTGCTGAAACTTCAGTGTTAATAGTTAGCCATGGCAGCACACGTCACCTTCCTGTATAAGTATCATATATGAAAATCCTTAAATAAAACAGGATTTTTAAAAGACGGGGAAACACCCAACCTTACCAGTTACTGAGTCTGTTACACTCCTGTCCCTACTGGTGAGAAGAATCTGGAAATGGCTATCAAAGGCTTTTAATACCCATGAATCCCAAATGTCATCAAGCACCAACAGAGACCTATTACAAAAAATAAAATAAATGATGACAAGCTTAAAGTTTGGATAATTTATCAACATTTTAACAACCAAAATTTGAGCATTTCAATATTCAAATTTTTCCTTTAGGGGGAAAATGTGTTGTCTGGGACAACTTCTACAACTTTGCTAATTTGCAGCAGTTCTACAAGCCAGTGTGGTACAGTGGTTTGAGTGTTGGACTAGTGCTCTGGGAGGCCAGGGTTCAATTCCCAGCTCAGCCATGGAAAGCCATTAGCTAAACTTGGACAAACCACACCTTCTCAGCCTCAGAAAAAGACAGTGGCAAACTCCTCCAAACAAATCTTGCCAAAAAATACCCTTAATAGGGTTGTCTATGGGTCACCAAAAGTTGGAAACAACTTGAAGGCACACAACAACAAGCTGTTCTGTGCAAAAATGAGTATTCCCTAGGTAAGCATTTATAAAACTGTCAGGTACAGCATGCCCACAGGTCTTCTTTCAGATTATAAATATAGATCCTCCCTGGCAAATGTGGTCACTGTTTTGTTAAATTGCCCTCAAATATTCCCGAGCAACAGTAAATAGATACATTTGAAGGAGAATTCTTGGATCAAATGACATAACAGCCAAATTCAGCAAGCACAGCTGATGCTATGTGAACAAAGAATACATCCAATAATTAGCTTGCAAATAGAAAAAAAAAAGTCTTGATTGTGGCCCAGGAACGCGTAATAAAGCTGTAGCTTCCAAATATCACTCGCCATCTTTCTGAATACATATCCAAAAAGAATGACTACGTATAGTCAGTCCGCCCTTCATGTTCGCGAGGGATCCATTCCAGCCACCCAGGTAAAAAAAATTGGGACCTGGAGTCCCATTGTGCTTAATGATGGGCACAACACATGCGTGGCCACCAATGTAGCTGTGTGCATAAGGGGCCATTGAATTGAACAGGATTTGCCATCCGCAGATGCTTAAATCCGTGAATGGCAAGCCCGAGGATATCAAGAGCCTGATATCGATCTGTATTTTGTACATGAACAAAATACAGATCAATGAATGGTAAGCAAATGACAATCTTGTCCAGAGCTAACTCATGAATGAGTTGCTATACTTGTAATCTGTATACATCAGAATGTCACATAAACAGAACATTGCTTGGAAACCTCTATGTATGTAAAAGCTAGCAACAGAGATGATTGTAAAATTACAATAAACCTTTCAGCAGTTCTTAAATCCTTCCCACATAGGCTCTGTTTGAGAACAACAGTGGTACTCTTCTGGATTTGTTCCAAAAACAGCTACAAGTGCTATTTCCATTTTAACAAAAACAGATTACTGATAGTGAACAAAATATAAAGACAATTGGGTTTAGCAAGTGCATCAATAACTTAAATGCTTACAATAACATCCAAAAACTGCAAAATAGTGATACCTTTATTACAACCAAAATGCAAAAAAGGCAAGCCTGATGAAGAAGCTAGTGAAGCATTAAAAGTTGTATAATCTATTTCGTGCATTTTGATTGACCCAATAAAAGTAAAAGTGATTTGGGGATACTAGATGTTACTGTACTTTCCTGCATGGCCAACACAGCTACCCTGGGATATGTTAAGTGCTTACAATAAATTTAATAGTGCAACTGTTTTTCTCTCAACACCTTCTTTCCATTTCCCACTCCCTCAAAATATCCACTTCAACTGCCCTACCTCTCCTTCTGTAGCAATCTTTCCCACTTCCCACTTCCCACTTAACTAGTAATATCTCCTCCCTCCCACTCCATCCCCAAAATTAAACCCCTTATCACGTTCACTAGATGACACAATTCTAGTCAAGCTCAAATATTACTTTGTTCTACTGTCACTACCTTGGATATTTGCGAAACAGCAACAACCGAAGGCGATCCTTTGCTTCCTCAATATTAAGTGGTGGCCTCTGCAAATAAGTGAAGTCCTGGTCTAACCTCAGACACAGATTTTGGAGTTTCATCAACAGGCCTGCCTTGTCTTGTTTCCCAACAGAAACCCAATATACTCCTCCTGGGAAGCAATCTAACAAAAATATAAGCAGGTACAGGTTTGTACACTTAACATGTCAAGCATGCATTACGAGTTGAGCAGAATACTTTTCCCCCTATGAGGCACAAAACAGTACCACATGCTATTTAGTTCTTGTTTCTTAGTATCATAAATATTATAACTTTTTATCTGAACATTTGTTATATTACTCACACATAATAACTTCCTCCCTCTTATACAAGTCCCTTATGAGCTGCTTAAATGAATCAAATAATATCTGATTTGGGCAGGCTATGCTTATCATGTAACATGATTTGAGGCTAGAACGAAACCTAAATCCACAATTTGAATCTCCAGTTCTCATTTATGGGTTGCAGCAACTTTCTGTAACATTTATATTGCTAATATAATGCAGCCAGAAATACCTTTCAAAAGACTGTGGTCCCGGAGTGCTTCTGCTGCCAAAACAGACTTTCCACAGCCTGCCATGCCATAAACAATAACCCATCCCGGATCATTTTTCAACTTATAGAGTTTCTGCTGTATTCTTTTTGCGAGTTCTGGACGAGTGACAAACACAACTGGCCGCTGTGGAACTCCACCTTCACAGAGGATAGTCTTGACTTAAATTCAGAAACACAAGAAAAGAGGGTTTTTTAAAAAAAATAATTAATCTAAAATGATTACCTTAAAATTAGCAAGTTCTTGACTTTAAACTACCATTAGAATAACTGTATTAATAGTCACAATAAATAAATTAATATAGGGGGGTTGCAAACTGCCAGAAATAGTGCAAATTGAGTCCACTTTTAGGGTTAGGGTTAGGGAATCATGAGAACTGTATCTTATTGTGGCACCAGAGCTCTCTGACAGAGAAGGCTCAATGTCTCAGGAAAAAAAATTTCCATGATTCCCTAGCACTAACCCTAAACCTAAAAGTGGACTAAATTCGCACGATTTCTGGCAGTCTGCAACCCCCCCATAGTCTCTCATAATTGTTCTTCTGTTTAGGCTACCAGTAAAAACAAAATAAATTCAACTTTAACTCATCAAGAATGCTGCCCTTCAACTACTGTGAACTGCATCTCCCAGATGCCCTTGCCAGGACAGTGATAGTGAGAAATGTTGGGTGTTGCAGTCTAAAAATATCTGGATGCTATCACAATTCTTATTGTTGCTTTAAAGTAATCAAAGATCACACTCATCAGCTATCTGGCAGGGAGACAGACTCTAAGGTTGTATATACACTGTAGAAATAATGGAGTTTGACACCACTTTAAGTACTGTAGCTCCATTCTATAGAATTCTGGGATCTGTTGTTTTATAAGGTCTTTAGCCTTCTCTGCTGGTGCATCAGAAAACTAAAAAACCCAGGATTCTGTAGGATGGAGCCATGGCAATTAAAGCGGTGTCAAACTGCACCCCTAGGGAAAGTAACACAGCAATGTTCCCCATTTTGCACAAATAAGCAGAATTCCAGTCTTGTTTAAAGGACTGTATGGATGTAGCTATAGCACCAGCTGCTGAATCAGACACTGTATATGATTCCCGACCAACGAGGGATAATAAATGAGGAGCCCTAGTTATATGTGCAAATGGCATCCAGCTGGATATGAGTTGTACAGCCTTAGAGGTCCAAGTAGTTGAAGTATAGTCTTACAAACAGAAAAAAGAGGTAGAACAAACTGTTCACAGTACAGTATATACTGTGAGACACTGTGTGAAAATACAGTGACAATATTTTTTCAGATATGACACAGTATCTTCACTCAAGTCATTCAACTCAATGGGTTACACTAAATGTTCAGGTAGATAAAGAAAGTACCAGAGCTCTGTTGTTCTACTACAGGACATCAGCCCTGATTGTTTCAATCACAAATTAGAACACTTCATTCTTATTCAATGGGAAACAGTTTCTGATACTGACCATAGGAAGTTAATCCATCCATAGACTTCTTTCCATTGTAAGGAGAAATAATTGGGAGGCCATCCTGGAGAAGGGCAGCAAGATCTTTGTACCCCTCATGAACCAGCGCATTATAAAAGGATATGTATGCATGGTCATCTTTGGCAAGAATTATTTTTATGAGCATAGCTGCTCGCTCCCTTTGGGTAATCTAAAAAGAAAAAAAAACATCTGGTATAGTGGACATACATCTGGCTCAGTATGTTTAAGTCCCACTGATTTTACTATATGTTTAAATCTGTCCCGGTAAGATCGACAAATTTAAGGATTTTGCTAGAATGTGGCCAGTTATGTCAATGAACAGAAGACAACTAATAGCTTGCTAGGGAACTTTCTGGCTCTGGGTTAATCAGAGAACAATGTATTTACAAACATTTACATTGCAACCCAATGTTCTATATGCAAATCAAACAATAGGCCTCACTGAGACCAAAGGAACTTACTTTCAGGTAAGCATGGTAGAACAGCAGTTTCATTTTCCATTTATTTCAAAGGACCATTTAAGCACACCTCACAGAAGACTGCCTCCATTTACACAAATGTGAGATAGCTATCTATAACTGAAATAAAACCTGCTGATAAGATTAACCATGTCTAAAATACCACATCCTTAGGGAAACTCCATGTTTACTCAGCTATGCTGTTAGTTATGATGCTATTATTTTACTATAATTTAGCAGTGAATACACCCAACTTTGTGCAGGTTATGCATCTGTAAGAGCTGTTATGATGGAGGAAATGTTTCATTGTTGGGGAGAGGCATCACTATCACATTGTCCTTCAAATTACTCCTCCTGGCTTCAGAGTGTAAAGCAGGGGTAGGCAACCTGTCCCCTTTAAGGGCCGAGGGACTTCAGCTCCCAGAAGCCTCAGCCATGTTGGCCAATAGTCCCATGTTGGTCAATAGCTCCTGGGATTCTGGGAGCTGAAGTCCTTCGGCCCTTAAAGGGGAAAGGTTGCCTACCCCGGTGTAAAGACTGCAATCTTATATATGCTACAAAGAGATACTTAAATTAATCAGAGTGGCCAGAAGTAGATGGGTGTCAAGGAGCTCTGCTGCTCCTTAACTCTGCAGCTGCTTAATTCTGAGACAACACTGAAGTCAGTGGAAAAAGTAAATTATTCAGGTCCCAATGATTTCAATATTAACTAAGGGCCTTTGCAGACTGCCAGAAATAGTGCAAATTGAGTCCACTTTAACTGCCCTGACTCAGTGCTAGGGAAACATGGGAACTGTAGTTTATTGTGGCACCAGAGCTCTCTGGCAGAGAAGGCT